CCTCGGCCTCCCAGAGTGCTAGGATTACAGGCGTGAGCCACTGCGCCTGGCCGAAAGTGGCCAATTTAGAGTCTAAAAAAACCCCAAACTGCTGGATATAAGAAAAACACATCTATATACAGAGTGTGTAAAGAAAGTAACATGGGCCGGGTGCAGTGGCTCACGCCTGTAATCCTCTCTGGGAGGCGGGCAGATTGCTCAAAGTCAGGAGTTCGAAACCAGCCTGCCTAAGACTGAGACCCCCACCTCTACTATAAATAGAAAGAAATTAATTGGCCAACAAATATATATAGAAAAAATTAGCTGGGCATGGTGGCGAATGCCTGTAGTCCAGCTACTCGGGAGGCTAAGGCAGTAGGATTGCTTGAGCCCAGGAGTTTGAGGTTGCTGTGAGCTAGGCTGACGCCACAGCACTCACTCTAGCCTGGGCAACAAAGTGAGACTCTGTCTCAAAAAAAAAAAAAAAAAAAAGAAAGAAAGAAAGTAATATGTAAAGAAAGTTAAAAATAGAGAATATTCTAAGGTAAAATAACAGGACAAAGCTGTGAGCTTAAGCAAGTTTTAGAAAGTTTGTGGAAGATTAATATTGTGAATGGAATTTTGTGTGATGATCTAGTTGGCTAAAATTAAAAGGGGATTAGTTTTTCTAAAAATTGAACATTAATATCAAAAGAAACACTGATACAGGGCCAGAGTCTGGGCCCCTGTATCAGAATAACAGGGTTTTCTTAAGCATTAATCTACTCTTTAAAAAAAATTATAAGAGGTTATAATATTTTTATGGAAATATTGCCTATGTGGTCAAAGCTGATTGAGATTGGATAGACTTCTTTATAAGTAAGGCTTTATTAAAATTAGCTTTAGCATTAATAATATACTGATGCAAAGACAGAATTTAGTTTTCTTTTGAACAAGATTTGCATATAATATTAATAAAAGATTTTTGTTTACCTTTTGAGCAAAGCGCAAAATAAAAGGAGAGAGAGAGAGATTTTGTTTGCCTTGTGGTATCTTTACTAGGTCTTTAAGGTAAGCATTATCCTAATACCAAAACCAGATACAGATATTATAAGAAAGGAAAACCACTGACAAATATCTCTCATGAACAGGTCCAAACTCCTTAATGTGGTTTGTTAAGTTCTGCATGACCTAGGAATAGCTTGCCTATCTAGCTTTATTTTCTTGCCACTTTCCTTATCTAAACATTTTGTTTTAGCCAAATGAACTTATTTCACCTTATTGAAGATGATGATGATGATGACAAGAGTAACAACAACATCAAATATGATAACAATAAAACATTTTTTTTTTTTTTAGTGTAGTAGCTTTGTAATATGTCAACTTAGCCAGGATAAACATTTCCTAGAATTCCCTCCCTGTATGTTTCTGGTTAAAGTGGGCCAGAAGAGATATATTTGTGCAAGATTTAGAGGGCAGAAGTGAAGCATTTGGTTTTTATACTTGGAAGGCTGGAGCACACATTTTTATAGTTCATACATGTTGCCACGTATCTGCCGCTGACCTTGGGGTGAGGCAATAGCCGGCCCTTCAAGTGCTCCAGCCTCCTTGGATCCTCTTTAACCGTTTCCATCTCCTGGCCAGGTGTCTGTTTAGCTCCTTGATCAAGAAGCCTGCTTCTCCTGTAGGATACCTACTTTATCAAGGCTGGAGAGGCAGTGAGAATTGACATGGGTTACAGTTCATTCTCATAGGTTGCACTGTTGTTGCTCTCCCTGCTTTACATCCAGCTTCACTTCCTGATTGCCCTGCAGACTTCAAGCTCCTTCATCAGATGCAAGATGACAGCCATACAGACTGCATAACCAGCTCCCACACTGCATAAGACTAAGTCCCTGTAACAAACTTCATTAAATATATACTCCTCCTACTGGTTCTACTGCTTGACTGATATAAATGCTCATTATGCTTCAGGATATATATTATACATCATTATTTATAATAGCAAGAAACTGGAAAAATATAAATGTTCAACAATAAAGGATTTATTAAATAAATCATGGCATATCATTAAAATAATGGTCTAGAAGAAAATTGAATATTAGATAAACAGATCATAACATTTTAAGTGAAAAAGTAGGCACAATCTAATTCTCTAAATTAGGGTTACTTTCCTCCAGGTTATGAAACAATTATATACTATATAGTTCCCTTTTGGTGGAAGAATTTCCCTATATATTTCATTTTCCTACACTTTGTTGATTTATTTATTTATGACAGAGTCTCTCTCTGTTGCCTGGGCTAGAGTGCCATGGTGTCAGCCTAGTTCACAACAATCTCAAACTCCTAGGCTCAAGCAATCCTCCTGCCTCAGCCTCCCAAGTAACTGTGACTACAGACACTCACCCACCCAGCTGATTTTTCTATTTTTAGTTGCCTGGCTATTTTTTCCCTACATTTAGCAGAGAAAGGGTCTCACTCTTGCTCAGGCTGGTCTTGGACTCCTGAGCTCAAGTGATCCTCCTGCCTCAGCCTCCCAGAGTGCTAGGATTACAGGTGTGAGCCATCACACCCAGCCTAACACTTAGTTTAAATATTGCTTCTATGTATTTCTTCCCAGAAAATCTTCAAGAATGATATATAGAACAGGTACTACCATTCCCCCTTTAGAGATAATGACACCAAGCTTTGGAAAAACTAAATAGCCTTTTTCATTGTTTAAGTCTTTAATTATATCTTTTGTTTCTTTAAAAAACTTAACATAGTTTTTTTTTTTTGAGACATAGTTTTGCTTTGTTGCCCAGGCTAGAGTGAGTAGCATCAGCCTACTTCACAGCAACCTCAAACTCCTGGGCTCAAGCAATCCTTCTGCCTCAGCCTCCCAAGTAGCTGGGACTACAGGCATGCGCCACCATGCTTGGCTAATTTTTTCTATGTATATATTAGTTGGCCAATTAATTTCTTTCTGTTTATAGTAGAGACGGGGTCTCAATCTTGCTCAGGCTGGTTTCGAACTCCTGACCTCGAGTAATCCGCCCGCCTCGGCCTCTCAGAGTGCTAGGATTACAGGCGTGAGCCACCGTGCCCGGCCAACATAGCTGTTTTATAATCTCTTCTTCATAATTCCAACTGTTGAAGTTCTTAGGGATTATGAATCTGGTGCTTATTGTTTCTGCTGACTTTCATTCATAATAGCCAGCTTCCTATGAAGTTTGGTGATTTTTGAATTGTACATTTATATTTGATTAAACTTAATATATATGGGGATCCTTAATATTTTGAGTTGGGGTTGCTTTCTTCCAGAGATAATTTGGATTTTCTTAGTTCAGCTATTCTACCTCATGGCAAGCTTCTCCCCCCTCCCCTGCTTCACCTGAACACATGACTGATATTGTTATTTGCCTCTTGACTTAGAAATTTGTTCACTATTCGTCATTTTTGTTTTAGTTCACTATACATTTGCCCTTGGGACTTTCTCTTGCTTTCTTGTAAACAATGCTTTAAAGGGTATGCCTATCATCATTTATTCAGGATCTAGTTGTATTATGACAGGACAGTCTGCCATCCTGATAAAAGTGGCAGTTGAGAAAGTATTTTTCCATAGCATTTCATTGAGTGAATTCATTATTTATTCATACATTCATTCATTTACTCAAACATTCATTCAATAAATATTCATTAAGTATCTACTGAGTGCCAGGCCTCAATATGCTAGGGCTTTCAACAAAAGGTGAAAGTAAGCTTCTGTTTCTTTCTTCTTTATTTTTTTTTTTATTTTATTAATTTTTTTATAACTTTAAATCTTTTATTTAAATTAATTTATCTTCTGTTTATTAACCTCTCTAATGACAATAAGTTTCTGTTTCTGAGCTCCAAAAAATATGGGAAAATCAGCATATCTTTTTATTGGCTAAAACCATATTTTTCTTAAAATATATGTGAACCACAGTGGAATACTGTTGAGTCATTAAAAAGGAATGAAATCCTGTCATTGGATGACAGGATTGGATGGAACTGGAGGTCATTCTGCTAAGTGAGATAAGCCAGGCACAGAAAGACAAATATCACGTCTTCTCACTCCTATGTGGTTGCTAAAAAAATTTTTTTATTTTAATTTTTTTAGAGATAGGGTCTCGCCCTGTTACCCAGGGTGCAGTACAGTTGCATGATCACAGCTCACAGCAACCTCAAACTCTTGGGCTGAAGCCATCCTCCTGCCTCAGCCTCCTGAGCAGCTGGGACTACAGGTGTGCACCACCACACCTAGCTAATATTTTCTATTTTTAATAGAGACGGGGTCTCACTCTTGCCCAGGCTGGTCTCAAACTTCTGACCCCAAGCAATCCTCCCCCTCAGCTTCCCAGAGTGCTGGGATTACAGGTGTGAGACACCATACCCAGCCAGAGTACAATTATTATGGATTAATAAAGAATAAAGAAAATAATAAAAAAAGTGAATCACTCTGAGTATCACATAAATAAGAAGCAAAACATTGGTTAATAAAGTTTAGGGCATCCGAGAGGATGCTTTACAAAGGAATCATCATAAAAATCATAATCATTTTAGAAAAAACATATATGACAGCTGCTATCTGGTAGCAGTTTATTGATAATTAAGATGCCTGTAAAATACCTGGAACTACTTTGAAGAAAATCAGCTGATAAATATAAAATACCAACTTCACTGTAGTCTAAATGTTTTACCAATCATGTCAGAGAGTTAAAAACACAAATCCCAGAATATCATATTTCACAGGCAATCCAGTCATTCAAGAAAATTTACCAGTGATCCAGGTATGTCCCAGAACAAGAAATAAACTTGGACTTTAAGAATTCCATACTCTAGTGCCAGAGGCAAACAAGAAAGTAAACAATTAGAATACAGTGTGGTAAGTGCCGTACATAAAAAGTTGTGTGACTGAGTTTACTTCAGTGAGAACAGAACGGAAATACTCTCTGATACTCTCTTAGAGTAAATTGAGGCTGCTGATGCACTCAATCATAGCTAAACCCACGGGAAACTGAGATCTCTGCTCCTCTTACCTCCTCTGTCGTTCTTCCTGATATTGTTGCTTCATTTTGGCTTCATTTTCTGTTGCTTCTTTTATCTTTTCCTCTAGTTGTTTCTTCCCCCAAATACAACTATCTGTGAGACAGACTTTATGAACATTTTCTAATTTCTGCTGCAGGTCCAAAATCTTGAATGAAAAAAGTTTATAAGTAAAACATTAAGAATGTGGCCTTTTTTCAATTTATGGAAATAACATAAATACCAAACTTAACAGTGCTAACATATAAATCTGATCTAAAGTAAAAGAGTGTAGCTAGATTTATGTACTTTTTTTTTTGAGACAGAGTCTCACTTTGTTGCCCAGGCTAGAGTGAGTGCCCCCGTGGCATCTGCCTAGCTCACAGCAACCTCAAACTCCTGGACTCAAGCGATCCTCCTGCCTCACTCTCCCGAGTAGCTGGGACTACAGGGATGTGCCATCATGCCCAGATAATTTTTTCTATATATATTAGTTGGCCAATTAATTTCTTTCTATTTATAGTAGAGACGGGGTCTCGCTCTTGCTCAGGCTGGTTTCGAACTCCTGACCTCGAGTAATCCGCCTGCCTTGGCCTCCCAGAGTGCTAGGATTACAGGCGTGAGCCACCGCACCCGGCCAGATTTATTTAATTTTAAAATAAATTATTTAACTTTTGCAACATGTAATACATTCATATAATTCAATACATGGGTATAAAAGAAGCTTTATAATGAAAAGTCTGTTTTCTGTCTCTATCCCATTTCCTCCACTTTCCTCCACCAAAAAGGTAACCACTGTTATTATCCTTCCAGAGAAATCTGGATATGAATATATAAACAAATATTAAATAGTACTCACCCATACACTCAAATTTTACACAAATAATGACATGCTATTGTATATGTAATCACACACCTTGCTTTTTAAAAAAATAACAATATCCTTGGTGGTTTATTCATACTATATGTGCATATGAGTTGTCTTCTCTTTTACTCCATTATAAGTATGTACTATAACTTACTTAACCAGCCCCCTACTGATGAATATTTAGGTTGATTCTAATCTTTTGCTAGTATAATAATACTCTTACAAACATCTATAGATTATGAAATGTGGATTTGATAGGGCAAAGGTTATTACTATTTGTTTGTTTGAAAGACAATGCTAAACTGTCTTCATAGGTATTAAGACCAATTTATACTTCCAACAGCACTGTGGGAAAGCTCCTAGTTTCTCCACAGAATGGCTAGATTTATGAATTATGTCTCAAAATAAAAGTCTCTTACAAACAAATACCTATTATTAGCATATCGCCTAGCACCACCAATAGGTTCTTTAATGTTCTGGGAGAAATAAAAATATGATTTATGAATTTGAAAGAGATATACAGTTATATTTTAGAATTTACATACTAGAATTAAAGTGTCATTTTAAAACATTTTTGTTAGATAAATCTCCTTTTAAATTGGTTTACTTACTTTTTATAAACCTTTGTGCCACCTAAAATTGTACCTGGTGCATAGTAGGTGCTCAATAAATATTTGTTGCATGAATAGATTTTAACAGGGTAGCTGATATCCGTCTAATGTACTACTGACCTAACAAGGAATCCTTTACAATGGTTTGGCACCACAAACATTCAGTGAATGTCTGTGGATGACGGTTCTTTTCTAAGGGCATCAATTCCAAGCGTTGGCATCTAGATCCCTGAATAGCCCACATAGCATAAGAGAGGGGAAAATGCAGAATGACTCAAGAACGATGGCGGTAGGCCGCCAGCCATGCGAGGCCAGCTTCAGTTCCTTGGAATTGCTCCATTTAGTTCTGTCTAGGGAGAATTTTTAACTTCAGTCTTAATTACACAGACAAAAGCATCACTTCATTGGCTTCTCTGTCAAGGACACATGCCAAGTTCTTGAAGCTGCCACCCAATTTAAGAAAAAGCATTGCCAGTACCTTTGAAGCCCACTCTGGGACCCTCCTTGATTATCCCCTTCCCTCACCACCAGAGAAAAAAACCAATAGCCTAAATTTTGTGTTATTTCCTTGCCTTTTATTTTAGGTCATTAAATATGAGATGTCTGATTTCAAATCAAAAATGTAGTTTTTTACATCTCAAACAAGAAGCAGTTCAATTAATCAAAGGATGTGCCTGAGCTCTTGACAAAGTTTTGCCGTCTTAACGGTAGCTTGTTTATGCCAGCAGTGAAGAAGCCTGCAGAGCGAGTGGCGATGAAATCACGAAAGGCGTTTTCCACAGCTTGTGGAGAATTGAGTATTTTTCCTTGCAAGAAGGGGTCCAAAGCCTGGAAGAAGTGGTAGTCAGTTGACACAAGGTCTGGTGAATACAGTGGATGACAGAGAGTTTCCAAGTCCAGTCTCTATAGTTGGAGCAGCGTTGTTTGTGTGAGCTGTGGTCGAGTATTGTCTTGCAAGAACATTGGCCTGTCTCTATTGACCAATCTCAGCTGTTTAGTCACAAGCATCCTCATCATTTCATCCAACTGGTTGCAACAGACTTTCACTATAATCAATTGACCAGGTTTCATGAAGCTGTAGTGGATGATACCAGCACTGGACCACCAAACAGACACCATTAGCTTTTTTTGGATTCATATTTAGTTTTGGATTGTGTTTCAGTGCTTCATCTTTATCTAGCAGTTGTGCCAAACCCTTGTGATTGTTAAAAAGAATCCATTTTTCATCACTTGTAATAATACAGTGTAGAAATATGTTTTGCCTTTATGTCCTTACAGCAAAGAATGACAAACTTCCAGATGATTTCTCTTCTGACACTTGTTTAATTCATGCCGTACTGTACCATCTATCCAGCTTCTTTACCTTGCCCATTGTTTCAAATGGTCCAGTATTGGAATCGTAACGTCAAACCTTGCTGCTAATTCACGTGTAGGTTGAGATGGATTCGCTTCCACTACAGCTTTCAGCTCATTATCCACTCTGGTTCTCAGGTCCATGTGGCTAATTTTCAAGATTAAAATCACCACAAGGGAACTTCTCAAACCACCGACGTACTGTGTGTTCATTAGCCACATCCTTCCCAAACACTTCATTGATATTTTAAGCTGTCTGCATTGCATTCATTCCACAACAGAACTCATATTTGAAAATAACATGAATTTTTGACTTATCCATAGTTTCACAAAAATGGCTCTAAATTTTTTTTTTTTTTTTTTTTTTTTTAAGACAGAGACTTGCTTTGTTGCCTGGGCTAGAGTGAGTGCCATGGTTTCAGGCTAGCTCACAGCAACCTCAAACTTCTGGGCCCAAGCAATCCTCCTGCCCCAGCCTGCTGAGTAGCTGGCACTACAGGCGTGAATCACCACGCCTGGCTAATTTTTCTATATATATTAGTTGTCCAGCTAATTTCTTTCTATTTTTAGTAGAGACAGGGTCTCACTCTTACTCAAGCTGGTCTTGAACTCCTGACCTCAAGCAATCCTCCCACCTCAGCCTCCCAGAGTGCTAGGATTACAGGTGAGAGCCACTGTGCCTGGCCTAAACAAATTTTTGAAAGATAATAACAAGGTAAAATATGGGTTTGGGCCGGGTGTGGTGGCTCACGCCTGTAATCCTAGCACTCTGGGAGGGCAAGGTGGGCGGATTGCTCGAGTGGTCAGAGTTTGAGAACCAGCCTGAGACCTTGTCTCTACTAAAAATAGAAAGAAATTAATTGACCAACTAAAAATATATATACAAAAAAAATTAGCCAGGCACAGTGGTGCATGCCTATAGTCCCAGCTACTCGGGAGGCTGAGGCAGAAGGATTGCTTGAGCCCAGGAGATTGAGGTTGCTGTGATCTAGGCTGATGCCACGGCACTCACTCTAGCCTGGGCAACAAAGTGAGACTCTGTCTCAAAAAAATAAAATAAAATAAAATAAAATGTGGGTTTGAAAGGCTGAGGATGTACCTTTACAATAAAAGTAAAATAAGAAGTGTCAAAGTGAAATGTCAGAGCAATCAACTGTCAAACTTAGTACTTAAGGATATCGGACATTTCATGCTTAATAACTTAATATTATATATGTATATATCTATTTTATTTTACACTATTTTGGTCTTTTTATAAATGGAATCACACCATGTTTTTGGCAACTTTTAAAAAATTCAATATTACATTGAACTATAGCAATATCTATAGTTCATTCATTTTCACTGCTGTAGCCTATTGTGCAAATATAATAACTTATTTATTCCATCTTGTATCAGGGGACATTTGGGTTGTTTCTAGTTTTCTGCATTTTGGAACTATGAACATGATTGTATTCCTATCTTCTGTTACATATTGCAATATAATAGTTTTTCTAGTTTTATGCCTAGAAGTGTTAAGTAGTATGATACATACATCTTTAACTTAACTAAATAATGACAAATTGCTTTCTAAAACATTTATACTGATTAGTTCTTTGAACTGAAGTCAGTATATAAGAGTTACTGTTGTACCAAATCCTCACCAATATTTAGTACTGTCTAAATTTTAAACTTTTGCCAATTTTTATCAATTTTACCAATTAAAAAATTATAGAGTGATAACATACATATAGTAAGGTAACATACATACATGTGGTAAATAACATACATATCTTAACTGTACTCAATAATGTTTTACTTTAAAAAATATAGACAAATATTTGTTTATTTTAAATTTTTATTCTTAGAGATGTGTTGGTGTGTTGCCCATGCTGGTCTTGAACTCCTGGCCTCAAGCAATCGTCCTGCCTCAGCCTCCCAAGTAGCTGGAATTACAGACACAAGCCACCATGCTGCTTAAGTTTTACTTTTATACTACTTCCCAGACCAAGATATAGAATATTTTCAGCACTACAGAAGATTCCCTTATGCCCATTCCCAGTGAATATCCCTCACAAAGATAACCACTATCCTATCTCCATAGCTTACTTAGTTTTATCTATTCTTGAACCTTATATAAATAGAATCATATAGTATGAACTCTTTTGTACTGGTTTCTTTCATGCAACATTAGGTATTTTAGTTTAATTCAGATTACTGTCATCTACTTTTTGATGTTTGCTTTATATTTATATGGTTTGATGAAATTATTTATTTTTTATCTAAGATTTGACTCTTAAACTTGCACATTAAAAATTTATTGGACTGAAGGTTTCATCAAAGGAAAAAAAGATTAAAAAGTAAAAAAAAAAAAAAAAAAAATTTGTAACTTACATACTACTGCCACCTGGTGGTAGGCAATCTAAAATGCAGGGGCAATATTTCAAAACGGTTCGTTTCACAGCACAAATCCCTCTACAAAATTACAAAATAGGAATGATGTAAACAGCAAAACCAAATGAGTAAAGAATAAGTCCTTTAAAATTTGAAAGTATAAAACAAAAATCATATGGGCCCATTCAGTTCTTTAACTTCATGTTATAGCTTTAATGAAACTTACCTTTTTAAGTTCATGCAGTTTTATTAATAAAAAACAAGATTTACTGGAATTGTAGGAGGAGACCAAATCAAAAGAGAAGACGACATGGGGAGAGTAAAGAAAAAAACTTGTAATTCTATCAAGTTTGCATCATATCTATTTCTAATTTTTTTTTTTTTTTTTGAGACAGAGTCTCGCTTTATTGCCCAGACTAGAGTGAGTGCCGTGGCGTCAGCCTAGCTCACAGCAACCTCAAACTCCTGGGCTCAAGTGATCCTCCTGCCTCAGCCTCCCGAGTAGCTGGGACTATAGGCATGTGCCACCATGCCCAGCTAATTTTTTTCTATATATTTTTAGTTGCCCAGCTAATTTCTTTCTATTTTTAGTAGAGACAGGGTCTCACTCTTGCTCAGGCTGGTCTCAAACTCCTGAGCTGAAACGATCCACCCACCTTGGCCTCCCAGAGTGCTAGATTACAGGCATGAGCCACTGCGCCCGGTCATCATATCTATTTCTTAAAATCCTCAGGGAAACAAGATTTCAGTAGTAGTATTCAGTGCATGCTATTTATTAAGCGTGAGGATAATTACCTTTTCCTCTGCATCAGCAACTTTAGATTTCTCCTGAGCCAGCTTTTCCTGCAGGTTGTTCTGTGATTTAATGCTCTGAGTCTGTTTAAGTACTTCCAGCTCCAGTTCCTTGATTTTCTGCTGACTGTGCTTCCACTCTGCCGTGAGTGAAGAGCACATCTTTGCACTGTCTAATAACTTTTGCTGGGCGTGCTTTAGTTCAATTTTTATCTAGAGGTGGAGAATAAACAAAAGTGATAAAAATAAGCATGGAACGAATGTGAGCCAGAATAAGCAGCTTTCAAAGGAGTGCAGTCCCCCCAAACCTGACAAATACCAATGTCACATGGCTAATTACCTCTCTGGAGTTGCCATGTGTTAGTAAGGTTTGCCAAAATTTATTTACACAGATGGCAACTGGATAAGGAAATTTCTAAAAGTTTCTATATATGTGGGCTAAACATTTCCCATGCTTTCTTCAATCTACTCCAATCTGGCTTTCATCCCCACTACTCCAATGAAACTGAAACTGTTTTTGCCAAGGGCAAAACTGACCTCCCCATTGCCAAAATAAACCCAATGGACAATTGACCTCTCAGTGGCATTTACTCCTTCCATCTCAGAAGTTCTCCTCTCTTGAAGTCTGTGATACCAAACTCTGCTGGTTTTCACTTACGTCTCTGCTGTTCCTTCTTGGTTTCCTTTGTAGATTCTTCTAATGCTACCCAACCTCTAAATATTATTGGACTCCTTCAGGCCTAGGGAGATGATAATTCTTTCCCTAGGTTCATTCCTATGATTTGAAATGCCATCTTATATCAATAACCCATAATGAAACTCCTTGATTCTGCCTGTATCTTCTAAGTCCTTTTTCTCTATCTTCCTGATTTCAGTAAATGATGTCACCATCCATCCTTTTGTGCAAGCCAGTAACCTGAAAGTCATCCTTGAGTCTTTCTTTTCCATCATGAGCCAATTCCAAGCATTTAACACATGCTGTCACTCTACCTCCACGGCATATCTTGCATAAATCCATTTGTGTCATTTTTTTGCCACCACCCTAGTCTAGGTCACCATCACTAGCCTTGGTTATAGGAACAGCTTTTGCACTGGTCCTACCACTTCCATTTTCGCTCCCTTCTTATCTATTCTCTATGCTGTAGCCATAGAGAATAGTGTTGTTTTAAAAACACAAATTGAACCACTTGACTCCCTTTCTTAAAATCTTTCAGTGGCTTCCCATCACTCTGGGAACAAATCCCAGCAGCTTGTTGGCCTTGTATAATCTGGCCCTTGCCCACCTCTTTAAAACCATCTTGCTATTTCCCCTTCTCCCACTAAACTCCTTTCACTCTGGTTTCTATTTAGAGTTTCCACACTTCTCTCTGCCAAGAATGCTTTCCCTTTTCCCTCCTCATTATATGGTTGCCTGCCTGTTCTTCAGGTCTTAGCTTAAATGTCACTTTTCAGGAGAAAATTTTCATGATCATTTAATCTGAAGAGGTATCTGTACTTATCACATCACTCTTCCACATAGATGTCCTTCATTAAACTTATCACAATTTATAATTAAGCATGCATTTATCTACTTATTATCATTCTTCCCCATTTTAAATTTCAAGAAAGCAGAGACCAGGTTTTTTATTCACTTCTCAATACCCAAGGCCTATCAAAGTCCCAGAGAGTAGTAATCAATATTTACTGAGCAAGTAAATGAATGATATTCTAAGGAACATCAGCACCTGGTCAATGTATGTATCAGGCAGGAAATGCTCACAGAGAAAAAAGGTGAGAGAATTTACTTTATCCTCATGGAAAACAGAATTCCTTGGTCCCAAAGTTTTTCAACTGAATTAATGGGAATTATAACTATTAATATAATATCCTCCACCTCTGATGTCTGTGTGTTAACCAATCAGATTATATCAAGTGAATCTAAAAGTTAATAGTGTTCAATCTCTCTGAGTGTTGTTTTCTTTGTTTTTTTGTTTGTTTGTTGGTTTGTTTGTTTTCTGAGAGGGTCTGTTGCCCAGGCTAGAGTGCTATGGAGGCAGCCTAGCTCAAAGCAACCTCAAACTCCTGGGCTCAAGGGATCCTCCTGCCTCAGCCTCCCTAGTAGCTGGGACTACAGACATGTGTCACCATGCCTGGCTAATTTTTTCTATTTTTTGTATAAATGGAGTTTTTCTCTTGCTCAGGCTGTTTTCAAACTCCTGAGCTCAATCAATCCTCCTTCCTCAGCTTCCCTGAGTGCTAGGATTATAAGCGTGAGCCACCACGCCCGGCCCCTATAGTGTTTTTTTAAAAACTAAAAAACAAAACAATCCAACATGTATTTATCATAAAATATTGAGCAAACTAACATTAGAAGGCAATTTCCTTAATGTGATAAAGAATAGCTAGCATTTAGAAGGAAAGAGAGAAATTATTTTTATTCTCAGATGATATGATTGCTTGTACAGAAAATCCAAAATAATATAAAGATAAATTACAAGAATAGAAAAGCATGGCAAAGTTATTATTAGAAAAGGATTAATAACATTCTTATATATTGGCAAATCAAAAATGAAATTTTAAAAAAGTTAACATTTGTAACAGTATGGAAAATATCAGCAACTAGGAATATGTCTAACAAAAGATATAGACCGAAATATAAACACTTCATAAAATTATAGTATTCAATATTGTAAAGATTTAAATTCTGCCCAAAGTGACCTATAGATTTTATGTAATTCCAACTAAAATCCCAAAACTTTATGTGTGAATATATGTGTGTTATATTGTGAGTTCATGTGGGTAGGTGTGTGTAACTTGACAAACTAATTGTAAGATTAATACAGGAATTCGAAAGGCCAAGAATAGTGCAGTTGAGATTTGACTAAACCAGTAATAATGGATACATCTATTAGGGATAAATAAGTCTAGTGATACACAACAAGGGAGGACATCTAGGCTTTTGGCTCAGGTCATTGAAATTTAGTAAGTGCTAAAAGTTTTAGGTAATGATTTCAAAAAATTGTGTAATTTAAAAACTTTTTCTGATTACAGTTGATAGCATATACATCCCTTCAGCAGCATAGAAATCACTGAGCTCTGTCCTTACTTAGGGAAAAGTTAAAGGAAGAAGTTACCAGATAGTTCGCATTATACACCCATCTGTAGATCCTATCATGAATTATAAAGTTGAAGAATTTTGATTCATTTACCCCCAGGGGCAAACTGAGACTCTTCAATAAAGGACGTGCCCACAAGAGTTACCTTAATGTTTTCTTCCTGAAGTAAGCTATTATGTTGCTTTAAGTCCAAGTTCTTTCCTCGCTCATATCGAAGCTCTTTTTCAGCGGAGTTGCATAGAACCTGGAGCCGGTGTAAATTCTGGCGAAGTTGTTGAACCTCTTCTTTCTGCTTGTCTTTTAGTTTTTCTCCAGATGCTGGATACTAAAGCAAACATTTTAAAAGAAAAACCATGGACAATTTGAAAGAATATTAGTAAAACAGGTTCAAGCTGTCAGAACCAGAATCATTAGAATGTGATGATTCACATGTCAATGTTTTTAGAGTTAGCTTATCTACACAAAATTACTCTTTTACATTTATGGCTAGCTGGTACTTGTTCATATAATTTAACTCCTGTTATGTTAGAGTGAAAATACCAGGAAAATTATGTGAACAAAAGCAGTTAGGTACAGACAACTAACCTTATTTTTCACATCGATGAAGGACAACAGAAACACGAACAATTTTAGAGTAAAACACATTTAATATGGAAAGTTCAAAGAATCAGTATGTGAAGAAGTAGAGTATGAATGTGTGTGTGTGTGTGTGTGTGTGTGTGTGGTATCTTCTGGCAAGAAGAAAAAAAGAGAAAACTTAGTAAGAGACTTTAAGTTCCTAATCTTCCTCATCACTTTCCTTTTACTACCTGCTGATGCTTCTCCAATTACTACTGCACAATAATACTCTCTTTTAAGGCTGGACAGTATTCCATTGTATGGAACACACTTCATCTTTATCCTTTCATCCACTGATGGACATTTAGGATGATTCTATAACCTGTTTTTTGTAAATAATGATGCAATAATATGGGAGTACAGATATCTCTTCAAAATACTTATTTCAAATCCCTTGGATATATACCTAAAAGTGGAATTGTTGGATCATATGGTAGTTCTATTTTTAATTTTTTCTTTATTTCTCTCTTTTTTTTCCCCATTCTTACCTCCTATTTTTAATTTTTTGAGGAACCTCTATACTGTTTTCCATAATGGCTATACTAATTTACATTCCTGCTCACAGTGTACAGTGTTCCATTTTCTTCATATCCTTGTCAACATTTATCTTTTGTCTTTTTGATAATAGCTATTCTAATGGGTGTGAGGTGATATCTCATTATAGTTTTAATTTGAATTTCCCTAACAATTATCAATATTAAATGTTTTTTCATATACCTGTTGGGCCTTTTTTGTATCTCTTTTTTTTTTTTTGAGACACAGTCTTACTCTGTTGCCTGGGCTAGAAAGCCATGGCATTAGCCTACCTTACAGTAACCTCAAACTCCTGGGCTCAAGCAATCCTCCTGCCTCAGCTTCCCGAGTAGCTGGGACTACAGGTATGCAATACCATGCCCCACTAATTTTTTCTACATATATTTTTAGTTGTTCAGCTAATTTCTTTCTATTTTTAGTAGAGACGGGGTCTCACTCTTGCTCAGGCTGGTCTCAAATGTATCTTCTTTTGAGAAATTCTATTCAAGTCCTTTGCTTATTTTTAAATTGGGTTGTTTTCTTGCTATTATGTTGTTTGAGTTCCTTATATATTTTGGAAATTAACTCCTTATCAGACATGTGGTTTACAAATGTTTTCTCCCATTTCACAGGTTGTCTCTTTACTCTGTTAATTGTTTACTGTACAGAAGCTTTTTAGTTTGATGCAATCTCATTTGTCTATTTTTGCTTTTGTTGCTTGTGCTTTTGGTCATATCCAAAAAACTTTACCAAGACCAATGTCAACTTTTCTATAGTATCAATCAACATATAAAATGAATAAGAGAAATATGGTACACCAGAACACACACAGGAATACTGTTCAGCTTAGAAAGAATCCTGTCATTTGCAACAATGGATGAACTTTTACTTTACTTAGTAGAATAGGCTAGAAAATAGAAAAAAAATGGGTGAACTTGGAGGATATCATGCTAAGTGAAATAAGCAAGGTACAGAAAGACAAATACTGCATGATCTCACTTATATGTAGAATCTAAAAAAGTTGAACTCATAGAAGCAGAGAGTAGAATGATGGTTGCCAGGGACTAGGGAGGGGGAAGACATAGAATGAGAAGATGTTAGTCAAAGGGTACAAAGTTCAGATAGGATGAATAAGTCCTGGAGATCTACTGTATAGCATGGTGAATGTAGTTAATAATAATAATGTATCATAAAAAAACAAGAAATTGCTAAAAGTATATATAATTTATATATATATTTTTTTTTTTTTTTTTTACCTGAGAGATTTTTTTTTTTTTTGAGACAAAGTCTCACTCTACTGCCTGGGCTAGAGTGTCATGGCATCAGCCTAGCTCACAGCAACCTCAATCTCCTGGCTCAAGCAATTTCTGCTCAGCCTCCAAGTAGCTGGACTACAGGCATGCGCCACCATGCCGGCTGATTTTTTCTATATATATTAGTTGGCATTAATTTCTTTTATTTATAGTAGAGATGAGGTCTCGGTCTTGCTCAGGCTGGTTTCGAACTCCTGATCTCGAGCAATCTGCCCGGCTTGGCCTCCCAGAGTACTAGGATTACAGGCGTGAGCCACCGCGCCCGGCCCAAGAGTAGATCTTAAATGTTCTCACCACAAAAAAGTATGTGAGGTGATAGATATGTCACTTAGCTTGATTTAATCATTATACAATGTATATATATATCAAACATTGCATACACCATAAATATATACATTTATTTATCAATTATACCTTAATAAAGCAGAAAAATAGAGGCACATGTATGAAATAATAGCAAAACACTCTACTATCTGGCCTCTCCGGTGTAATAAGAGAGGTGATTTGGATTTTCTACAAAAGGTAGGAATGCACAGGTGTGCTGAGGAGATAAAGAATTCAATCTTATACAATTCAATAGATAAGATATATTTAGAATTTCCTTAGTCTGGTCCAGTATGCTTTCTGTCTACAACTCTCTGAAAAGCCTAGGTCATTATGTTAGTTTTATTTAGTTTATGTTCCTGAAGCAACCTAGAACTCCCCAGATCCTGTTAATCCTTCAATTCCTATTTTGGTTTAGTTAGAAAGGCAAATCTAAATCCAATTTGCAGCCGGGCGCTGTGGCTCACGCCGTATCTAGCTCTTGGAGGCGAGGCGGGCGATTGCTCAAGGTCAGGAGTTCAAAACCAGCCGACAGCGAGACCCGTCTCTACTATAAATAGAAAGAAATTATTGCCAACTGATATATTATATAAAATTAAGCCGGCATGGGGCGCATGCCTGTAGCCCAGTCTCGGGAGGCTGAGGCAGAAGGATCATGGAGCCCAGGAGTTGAGGTTGCTGGGAGCTAGCTGACGCCGACACTCATCTCCTGGACAACAAGCGAGACTCTGTCTCAAAAAAAAAAAAAAAACAATTTGCTTCTCTTAGAGCTGCAAGACTCTAAGATCCCTTAGAGGATTAAAGAGAAAATTCTTTAATGGATTATAATATAATTATTAAGAACCCCAGCTTTGGAATTAGATGCACCTGGGCTTCAATCCTGAATCTACCATCTTGGAAAGATTACTTATCTCTCTACATTTTGATTCCTTGTCTTAAAATGTGGATAGCAATGATAACTGCTGGATGGAGTGAATGGTAAGTAAGGTAACATGCAGGCACTTAGCACAATGCCTGGCACTTAATATATACTCAGTAACATTACCATTACTCTTGGTGCTACAACAGTACTTTAACTGCCTTCATCTTCCACCTGCAAACAACCTTGAATACCTTGATTACCACTCTACCTTCTTGTTTAACCATGTTACAACAGCTTTTTAACAATTAATCAGCAGCCTATAGAACCACTTAACATACCCAAACAGAGATACCGTATATAAGAGAAGTACCCCACTTATACCAATGGGACAAAGGCACAGAACTTTAAGTCTGTTTTGAAGACGGGGAAAGCCAGAACAGTAGTTCTTCCTTCTACATTTTTCAGTCCATTCACTTTGCCAGCATAGAAATGCAAATTATTTTTCAAGGAAGTCAACTGGTTAAGCAGCTAGCTGCTACCTGACAGCCAGTCAAGCAGTCAATGTAAAGAGTCTCTATTTTTCCCACCATATAAATTACTTTGCCAGTAGAAAGTTATTGCAGAGGCATATATACTCAATTAGGCTACTAGGAACCATGTAAGAGTGAAAAGTAAGTATACAGAGATCTTTTTTAAATCGATCAATAGATTTATTAAGACAATTATCCTTTCTGAATCTTATTTATCTACAGATTAAAGGCATAAGACCAAATGATGTCTAACATTTTTTCCATCTGAAACAATTATAAATTCCTTAAGAATTAAAATAAGTTAGAACTAGCATTAATTGTCTTAACTTTATAAGCTTTTACTATTTTAAAGTAAAATGATCATTCCTACTGTGGAAATAGAATGAAGACTATTGGCTTTAAATATTCCCATCCAGTGAATGTGGATGGAAGGGGCTATCAAAATCTGGTGCTGTTACATGTATGAATCATCAAACTTAGTCCACTTGTTCTGACTCCATACTCATCAAACAGCCTTCAGATTTTGATTTGTCTTTCTTAGCTCTCTATAGGAAGAAAATGCACTGTTCATCTAAACATTTTCACGTGATAGTTAAATTAATTATTATAAAAGAATAATTAATGTTCTGATTTTATCCAATAGCTTTGAAAGTTTGGTTACTGTGAGTTTAACCCTAAGACATAGGTCTATTCTAGGTAAACTAAAACATCAAGTTTTAGAGCCTGAAACCCTGAGGGACAAACCTTGGGTAAATTTACCATGATAATCAATCTATGACACCCTAGGAGGGCTTCTGGGAACCAGTGTGCCAGCTTTCCTTAGGAAATCAGCTTGAGGCTGGGCATGGTGGCTCATGCCTATAATCCCAGCACTTTGGGAGGCTGAGACAGGAGGATCACTTGAGGCCAGGAGTTCAAGACTAGCCTGGGCAACATAGCAAGATCCTATCTATACAAAAAATTTAAAAAATCAACCAGACATGGTGGCGCACCTCTATACTCCTAACTGCTTAGGAGGCTGAGGAGGATCACATGAGCCCAGGAGGTTGAGGTGGCAGTGAGCTATGATCATGCCACTGTACTCCAGCCTGGGTGACAGAGAAAGACTGTGTATAAAAAAAAATCAGCTTGATTTGAGAACTATATACTTTATTTGAATTTTTCA